TTAATAACTAATTCTCTCGACATGCTTATGCTAAAATGAATAGAAATGAACTTCATACTCACGCTAATAAGGGTAAAAAATTAGAACATATTATTTAATAACTAATTCTCTCGACATGCTTATGCTAAAATGAATAGAAATGAACTTCATACTCACGCTAATAAGGGTAAATAATTAGAACATATTATTTAATGGTTAATCCTTTTAAACCGTTTATTCTAAATGAACAGAAATAAATATACTCACGTAAATTTTAATTCCTAATTTAATACATGAGTGTATTAATTAACGGTTAATCCTTTAAAGCTTCTAAAATGAACCGAAATAAACTTCATACTCACACTGGTAATTTAATTTAACACAAGTGTAAATAATTTGAAAGCGAAATTATTAGATTATAATTGAAAAAAAAAACAACATAGTATATACTCACTATCTAACAATTTAGCATGAATAAATAAATGATAATAATTGTACTAGTATTTAGTAAATCCTTCGATATACTGATTTTAAAAATAGATTTTATACTTACACTATTAAAAGATTAGAGGTGTATTATTTAGTATCAAATATGCAACTAATTTGAAGTGAACCAAAATAACTTCATACTTACGGACTGGCAAGTTAACACATGAGTGAAATTATTAATTATTAATAAATCCCAACAGTCCAAATTTGAAAGAAGCTATATATACTTACACTTTTTCGACTTAACACATGAATAAATAAATAAGTTAGTTTATTAGTGGTAAATACTTGATACGTTGATGTTAAATAAACAGAAATGAATTTTATACCCCATTAGAGTTATTATTTAATAACTAACTCAATTTAAAAAGTGAACATGTGGTCTGACTAATTAAATAGATTTATAATAAATCATTACGATTATGATTCTAAATAGAAGATTTATAATAAGTAAAGATATAATTTATTTACTACCTTATTGAAAAAGCTCGAAGGCATTTCCTCACTATGCGTGTGGTATAAATATATAAAACTTAAATGTCATGTGATAATTGGATTGGTACGTACAAGATCTGGAATTTCGGAATTCTCAATAAGATTTCTAGATTTTTTTTCTTTGTAATGTAGGACCAAAGAATACTAAAAAAGTTATACATGATAGAATTCTCAATAAGATTTCTAGATTTTTTTCTTTGTACGTAATGTAGGACCAAAGAATGCTAAAAAAGTTATACATGATAGAATTCCCAATAAGATTTCTAGATTTTTTCTTTGTAATGTAGGACCAAAGAATACTAAAGGTTATATAATAACTTGATTTGGAGTTGCCGGAGTTACTTTTTTTTTTTGTTACGATTTGCTGAAAACAGCGATAATAGAGTAAAGCAAGGATGTTTGCTCAAACAATTGTTGCAATCATTATTATGATCAATTGCAATAATTGAGCATAATCACTATCAGATCACATTGAGGAGTTGTTTGAGAACACCCTAAATGTGAAAGTTATAAATTTTAGGGGAATTTACAAATAAGGGCCCGGAAAGTGGAAATATTTGGCCCATATTAAAAATAATTACATATAAGGGTCTAATTTTTAAAAAATATTACATATAAAGGCTCAAAATAACCGTGACGCTATTCACGCCTGTGGCTAGATCGCTATTAGTATCAGAAACGTAAGCATCGCATAAAAAATGTAATGATCGTAAATTAGTAATTATACTGTATATAAGAAAAGAAAATTTTTTAAATTTAATAAATTTAATTTTCTTTATACGAACGAAATTGCATATTGTTATAACAAACTACTATGATGTCAAGTAAAACATTGCGAATTGGCATGACATTTACTAATATAGATGTTCGTTCAGCTTTAGAGAGCTACTCTGTTGAAACTTCGCCTTATGAATAACTGCGCGAAAATGATTATAACTAGCACTTCATTTATTTTATCGAATAATCAGTATATAGATAACTCTAAATGTCTATAATAAAACTATCGATAATCCTATAATCGCGATTTTGCTATCGTTATAAGCTGTGATCCGTTTTTTCCAGCCATCAATAGATTTGGGCTCTTATATATAATATTTTTTAAAAATTAGGCCCTTATATGTAATTATTTTTAATGTGGGCAGTATTTGTAATTATTTTCACTTCCGGGCCCTTATTTGTAAATTCCCCTAAATTTTATACACTTGCGATAAAACAAATAATCTAAGAAATTGTAAAAAATTTATTTGAGCATTGTTTTTTTATACATATTAATGCTTTCAATCCCTAAGACCTCGTCAACAATATCCGATGCTTCAAATTCATATTTTTATAGTGTTCAGGATTCTGCTAGCATGATGGAAAGTCGTTTTGATTGGCTGATGTGGTACAACTGTAATGTAGATCATAGGGTGCGGGACGGGTCGGGGTTGTTTAAACCCGACCCGGACCCGAATAAAACCCGACCCGAACCCGGCCCGTTATAAAAATTTGTTATCAGGTTCGGGTCGGGTTCGGGTCGGGTTTAAATGAACCCGACTCGACCCGATCCAACCCGATTATTTTTATGTATACTAGGAAAGAAGTGATATATAATATCACGAAGTGTAGGCATTTTAGTGATATATGTCCGCAAAATCTCATGATTTGGACAATGCATTAAATGAAACGTGAAATCCTGCATTTAAACTTCACGATATTGCATCACGTAGCACTATATTTATATTTATTGAGATTTCTTGTATTTTTTTACAGTTTTATCTAATTAAAATGAGTGACGATCACTTATTGCTATCAGTTATAAAAATGTACTTTTTTTATTATTGCTCTTCAGAATTGAACTATCAAATAAATATTGTTGCAAACAGTTTGACAGAGGTTAACGGCTTATTCGAAGCCGGTTTTAGCTGTGTAATGGAGTCAAGCTGACCAAAACTGGTGTGCTGCAGCTTAAGCCATAATTTGAAGCACAGATTTTAACTATGGCTCAGCATCAGCTGCAGCTAGGGATGTTAAATTAGTCTATCGATCTGATCTAAGTAGGGATGGGTACGGTCACGGTCATAACCGTTGTGACCGGTCATTGACCGTAACCGTTGCTGACCGGTCAGAGC